TGTGCATCCAAACATAAGTCAAAACACAAAGAATACAATTGCCCCCCAACTTGTTGAGGGTTGACTATGGGAACCCGAGCTTAAGCACAAGCCCCACCATACGACGCCGACAAATGAATCAAATTTTATACATGAACTGATGTCTAGTTTGGCAATGAAAAGGGATTATCATTTAAAGCATTCTATAGTTTTTCTACTACAAATTACATAATTTTCTAATTTTTTCATGGATCAAATCGAGACTCGTGGAACTTCATAAGTTCACATGCTTCAATAGATGACCAACAGTCGAGGAACTCGAACCAAGTAGTGAAGCTGACAACTATGCCAAAGACTACTGGCTGACAAAATACATGAAGATTGACCCACAATGTCCCCACATCACGAACCTTGGTCTCCAAACTTGAATCATATAGCGACAAACTCCGCGAAAGAAGTGGTTCTCCGTCGAATAGCCACAAGCTCCGCAAAGGGTGTCTAACAGATCTCTATAAAGTAAGCTTCGATGGTTACTCTTGCGAAAGAAGTGATAAGTTCCACTTAATAAGCCTAGAAGAAGGGGCAATCTCGCTAGAGGAAATCCAACCAAGCAACAGAGTCTTGAAAAGGGTAAAATATGAGTCAAACATCAATAATAAAAATCAACGATGACATAAGAAGTCTGATCGGTACAAAATTTTTTAAATCCAACAAAGATGCAAGATGCCAAATCGATATAACTTTGAAGCTTGACCGACAGTGATGACTAACCCCCAACTGACAAGCTGCATGAAAACCAACAACACCAAGCGTAAAAAAGCCAATATCTTTAAACTCAACATGGATAAATCTCTAGATGTGGTTCCTTACCAAGTAGCGACAAGCTCCGCAAAGGGTACTACGCAACTCACCCTGGAAGCGAGTCTCGAAGGTTACCCCTGTGCATGCAGTGATAAGATCTACTTAAGACCTGGTGAAAGATGCTACTCGATCAAGGCAATAACCTGACTTAGCAAAAGTGACACTAACAGTATAAGAGTTGTGTCGAGCGATCAATACAAGTCAAAATCGACATAAAACAACTCAAATTTAATGGTTTTATCACATACAACATTGCAAGGTATAGTGGGGAAAAATAAAATATGATAAGGGTAAAGTGACACAAATATAAAAACAACAAAAACTTTTTGTTATAAGAAAAATTTTATACAAGTTTCCTCCTCTAGGACCAGATGGGCCCCTTATTTTTTGCCTCCTTTTCCCGGCTCTCAGTAGATAACCTTAACTTCTTCTTCATCTGGATGGACTTTATTTTTTTCCCACTTCTAGTTGACTATCTCGATCATTCTTCCCTCAGCGGCCACCTTCTTCTCCTCCATCTGATGGAGGCCTTCACCTGATGGTGGGCAGCCAACCATGCCATCAAGTGGCACCCGTCGCTGAGCTGGCCAAGGTCCACCCTGCCCAGCCTTAGCAGTAGCCCCTCAAAGGAGTTAGATCGGACCACCTCCACTAGAAGACAAGGATAGTTCACGACCATGGGAATCTTCATATAACAGTCCATATCAGTATCAACCATTGCATAGTGCCTGACAAAGCTCAACCGAACATTAATGTCCTCCTTGGAAGGAATCCACTTACGAGGTGAACCTTTTTGTTTCAGCGGTGGGGAGACGTCCTTGGTGGGAGCTTTACCCTTCCAGTTGGGAGTGGTTTCCTCCTGGTGGTCAAAATTTGCCTCATCATTGGCCTCAGTGTCGGAATCTGTCAGGGAAATTGGCATTGGCTCACTCGCCTCACCTCTTGACCTGACATCAATGAAAGAACACTGAGCGGCTTGGCTAACTCCCCGACCCACTTCAGAGATGTCTCTTTTTCCTCCCTAGTAAACTACCGGAAGAAGCTCGGTGCCTTGAGGGAGCTTTTTCTGTGAACTCCATAAGTTTTGGCACCTGACAAGGCAAACTGCTCGGTTAGCTACTCTCCAATGGAAATGCAAAGTGATCATGTGACTTTTGATGTGAAAAATAAATGAGCCACACTCCTTTTTGTTTGCTCCAACAGAAACCGATGATTTTTTTTGGTCCAAGAGAGGTGGTTGCCTCTGGGCGAACGACCCACACCCTTGGCTTCTTTCTGGCTACCTTTGCAGCAGCCTCTTTCTTCCTCTTTTCCTCCCAAGTTTTGGAGGCCTTCTATTGCTCGTCGGTCATGTCAGCAAACTCCTCAAACCACATTAACCTGTTAAAAATAGCTCTTCCCCTCGATCATGACCCATACTCCTTTAGGGGTCCCGGTAGGGACTTGATCTTTTTAGGGGCAATTGTGACGGGCTGGACATCGATCCCCCAACCTCCTTGATAGAACCGACCAAAAACTTCCACTTTCAATTCTTGATCTTGTTCTCAAGTCTCACAAGCGGAGTCTAGGTAGGGCCCACCGAGAACACAACATAGCTATTCCGATTGACCTTTAAGTTGAAGAAATCGGAGAAGAGATTGGGCGACCATGTAATAACCAACCAGTGGAGGAAAATGACGAGTGTCATGATCGCAACAATGGAATTCAACTTCATCTACATGGGAATGATACTGTAGTGGTTGAGGAGCGCCCACATCACCCAAAAAAAAGCAGCCTCGGTTCACACTTGACCTAGTTATCTACTGAACTGGTCCCGGCAAAAGACCAGGTCATTGTCATAGACATCGGTCGCTCGGTTACTATTCCTAATAGTCCTCAAGACTATTGACTTGCCATATATGCACGAATCTTGAAGTTACTCCACCTAGCATGTCGAGAGGATCTACACTTCCCAAGATATGATGGAGTGAAAGAGATCTTGGGAATAATTGGCGCCTTGAAAGGAGAAAAAAAAGAACAACAAATAGAACAAAAGAAAACAGAAGTAGTCGCGTGAGGGTTCC